GGCCTCCCCCGGTAGGCCCCGTAACGCCCCCGCTGCTGGTGAGAGCCCACCCGACGTGCTGCCTCCAGCTCTGGGGGCCCCAGCATCAGAAGGACATGGACCTGTTGGAGCGGGCCCAGAGGAGGCCATGAAGATGCTCAGAGGGATGGAGCACCTCTGCTGTGAGGGCAGGCCGAGAGAGCTGGGATTCTTGAGCCCGGAGAAGAGAAGGCTCCATGAAACCTTATAACCCCTTCCAGTACCTAAAGGGGCTCCAGGAGAGATGGGGAGCAGAGGAACAGAGCATGTATTGATAGTATGAGGGCTAGTGGCTTCAAACATGAAGACGGTAGATTGAGAAAGAAACCTTTCCCTCTGCTATTGGTGAGACACTGGCACAGTTTGCCCAGAGGAGCTGTGGCTGCCCCATCCCTGGAGGTGTTCAAGGCCAGACTGGATGGGGCTTTGCGAGGCCGGAGACGAAGCCGCCGGGCTGCCCGCCCCGCCATAGCAGCAACAGTAACAGCAGGGCCGCCAGGAAGGCGGCGGCCAGCAGGGCGTAGGGGAGGTGCCGGGGGTTTAGCGGCCCCGGGGAGGGGCAAGGCCGCTGGTCACGCTGTGGCCTCGTGGTGCTGCCCCTTCCCGTTCTCCTTCCCCTTCCTCTGCCCGCCCTGGGGAGCGGGGAGTGCGGGAGCGGTGGCCGCTGAGGCGGGGGACTGTGTTTATGCCGTTACCGAGTGCATCGCTGGCTCCATGGCCGCTTTCCCTCCCGGTTTCGCGGCCGCAGGGGAGGTGCCGGGGGTTTAGCGGCCCCGGGGAGGGGCAAGGCCGCTGGTCACGCTGTGGCCTCCCCCGGTAGTCCCCGGAACGCCCCCGCTGCTGGGGAGAGCCCACCCGACGTGCTGCCTCCAGCTCTGGGGGCCCCAGCATCAGAAGGACATGGACCTGTTGGAGCGGGCCCAGAGGAGGCCATGAAGATGCTCAGAGGGATGGAGCACCTCTGCTGTGAGGGCAGGCCGAGAGAGCTGGGATTCTTGAGCCCGTGAAGATGCTCAGAGGGATGGAGCACCTCCACTGTGAGGACAGGCCGAGAGAGCTGGGATTCCTGAGCCTGCCCGCTCCGCCCACCGGCGGGCCCGGCGGCGGCGGTGGTGCTGCCCCTTCCCGTTCTCCTTCCCCTTCCTCTGCCCGCCCTGGGGAGCGGGGAGTGCGGGAGCGGTGGCCGCTGAGGCGGGGGACTGTGTTTATGCCGTTACCGAGTGTATCGCTGGCTCTATGGCCGCTTTCCCTCCCGGTTCCGCGGCCGTAGGGGAGGTGCCGGGGGTTTAGCGGCCCCGGGGAGGGGCAAGGCCGCTGGTCACGCTGTGGCCTCCCCCGGTAGTCCCCGGAACGCCCCCGCTGCTGGGGAGAGCCCACCCGACGTGCTGCCTCCAGCTCTGGGGGCCCCAGCATCAGAAGGACATGGACCTGTTGGAGCGGGCCCAGAGGAGGCCATGAAGATGCTCAGAGGGATGGAGCACCTCTGCTGTGAGGGCAGGCCGAGAGAGCTGGGATTCTTGAGCCCGGAGAAGAGAAGGCTCCATGAAACCTTATAACCCCTTCCAGTACCTAAAGGGGCTCCAGGAGAGATGGGGAGCAGAGGAACAGAGCATGTATTGATAGTATGAGGGCTAGTGGCTTCAAACATGAAGACGGTAGATTGAGAAAGAAACCTTTCCCTCTGCTATTGGTGAGACACTGGCACAGTTTGCCCAGAGGAGCTGTGGCTGCCCCATCCCTGGAGGTGTTCAAGGCCAGACTGGATGGGGCTTTGAGCAACCTGGTCTGGTGGGAGGTGTCCCTGCCCAGGGCAGAGGAGTTGGAACTGGATGATCTTTAAGGTCCAATACAACCCAACCCATTCTACAACAAGAAAGGAAAGGCTTTCCTTGCCTTCCTTGTGCCCTGAGAAATCAAGAAGCCAACCAGCTTGGCACCAAAGGGAGATGGTTCTCTGGGACCCCCAGCAGCTCTGGGGGCCCCAGCATCAGAAGGACATGGACCTGTTGGAGCGGGCCCAGAGGAGGCCATGAAGATGCTCAGAGGGATGGAGCACCTCTGCTGTGAGGGCAGGCCGAGAGAGCTGGGATTCTTGAGCCCGGAGAAGAGAAGGCTCCATGAAACCTTATAACCCCTTCCAGTACCTAAAGGGGCTCCAGGAGAGATGGGGAGCAGAGGAACAGAGCATGTATTGATAGTATGAGGGCTAGTGGCTTCAAACATGAAGACGGTAGATTGAGAAAGAAACCTTTCCCTCTGCGGGTGGTGAGACACTGGCACAGGTTGCCCAGAGAAGCTGTGGATGCCCCATCCCTGGAGGTGTTCAAGGCCAGACTGGATGGGGCTTGGAGCAACCTGGTCTGGTGGGAGGTGTCCCTGCCCAGGGCAGGGGGGTTGGAAGGAGATGATCTTTAAGGTCCAATACAACCCAACCCATTCTACAACAAGAAAGGAAAGGCTTTCCTTACCTTCCTTTTGCCCTGAGAAATCAAGAAGCCAACCAGCTTGGCACCAAAGGGAGATGGTTCTCTGGGACCCCCAGGAAATGACCCCCTGCCTGCATCCCTCTCGCATGCATGTGGGGATGCGAATTGAGTCTTCCCTTCATAAGAGAGACTTGACTATGACTTGGCTGGTGCTCAGATGCTGAGTTATCTGACCTAATATCACTGAGTCAACTGTCTGACTCACTGCCTCTGAGGAGACACTGAAAGGTATTTCAAATTTTCCATAATACACGTGAGAAAAGCAACGATGTTTAGTGTGGGCATACTTATGCTAGTACTTATAAATGCTCTAGAGTAAAATAAGATTATAAGTCGGATTCTAAGGAAAAAATACTTTGACTGTATTTCCAAGTCTTTAAATATAGGACAACCTAATTTGATTAATCTTTAGTGCTACTTCAAACCATCATGGAAGCGGTAGATTAAGAGGATAAAGCAATGGCCAACACCTTGCAGCTCACTCAAGTACACACAGGTTTTTAACTTTAGGAGGAACTTCTGTCAATAGGGATACGCTTCCACAACACTGATGTGTCTGCCTTTATTGTGGTACCTCCCAAGGTACCTTTAAAGGTGTGAATTACTTTTCCCATGTGGTGTTGAATTATGAATTATGTATGGGTACTTTAATTGCATACCAACCAGCTACCAAACCCACATCGTATCTTTTTTCTTTTTTGGTGTAGATCGGGCTTGATGGAAAGAGAATTTTTAAATTTTACCAATGTACTTTCCTAAACAGAGATAGAAACCCTCCTGTCAGTGAATCCCACCAAGCAGCACATGCTCAGCCGAAGCACTCATGACATCAATAACATTCCTTTGGGAAAAAGTAGTTGGAGCTCAATCGGTGATAAATATCTGGTGATTTTGAGGTAGGAGAGCTGAGCTTTCCTTACCCACCAGCGCTGTCACCTGCATGGCAGCAGTGTTAGCTCCCGAATTGGGGGCACAGAATTAAGAGGCAAATCTCTTAAAATCGCAGCATCTGAAACAGGGGAGCAGGGGGTTGGCACGGGCTTTAAAGCATTTTTAAAAATACACTGCAGATTCTCCTGGTGGAAATGGTCTGGCCCATAAAGAGGGTCCATCCTTTGTCTCAGCAGTAAACTTTTAAAACTTAAAATAGCTTTGGTCAGCAATTTTCTTGACTGATGTGGATGCAATTTTCATGAAATCACGGTCTGAAGACTCCTGGCTGGGTGTGTGGCATGGCTCTGCACCACAGTGAGCAGATCCCCTGCACCCAAATGATATTTTTGGGTGCAGTTTGGGCTTTGTGGGAGTTTGTAAAGCGAAGGATATGGAATGTGGCCGTTACAGTGCCCAGTGGTGGCCAAAGGGCCTGCCAGCTTGCTGCTGGGGGATGGAGCTGATGAATGACAGGAGGGCTCTGGCAGGACAGTCACACGCACCCAGGGACATGCCGTGCATCGTGCCCTGTTCCCCTTTGGGTGACAGGTACCCAGCTTCTTGGCACTTCAGTCCCCTCCTAAATTTACCTAACCCAGAGCCACAGAGGTAGAGCTCATACACAGGTCAGTGAAGGAGCAAATGTTTCATATCCAATACACTTCCGTCAATCAGCCTTTATTTAAGGATCAGGGAGCAGAAAGGCTCTGTGTGGGGGTCTGCAGTGCACGGTAAGATTGAGGCTTTGTTTCTCCTCGGCTCCTTGTGTCACCACCTGCGTTACCAGCAAAGCCAGGGAAAGAGGGATTTGGTTGGCACGAGCCAAGCCTTGCTCTGCGCTCTGCCAGGATGGGTAGAAGGGGGAGAAGTGAGTGTCTGAGGAGAAGTACAGCCCTAACAGCGAGAGCTGTCAAGTAAAAGCCACAGCATGTTTTCAGTTGGACGGGCAGATGCTAGACTTCAGCTGGGTCACTCGGCAAAGGTGGCGATCGGCAGAAGGCTGTGGAGTTTCATCCCCGAGGCTTTCTTGGGCACACGGCTTCATCAAAGTTTGGATAATTGGAAGAAGAAGGGAAGGAATACAGCCGTGAGGCTGGGAAATGGTTTGAAGGAGAGAGGAATCGGCAGTTGGTCATCTTAAATATACCTTCTATATTTATATTTGCAAGTTACGTTGAGAAGAAGGTGTAAGGTGTACGCTGTTCCTTCTCATAATTGTGTATGTTTTTTGCACAGCAGTAAAAGCCATTCTCTCTAGGAATTTTTTCCCCGTTCCTGTGCATCTGTGACACATTATGTCACTCGGATGCGCTTATGATTTTCCTACTTTTTAGACGAATAGTTCCCTGTAGGTGGCACCAGCACTCTTCGGTTCCTTCGAAGCCTGATGCTCTGCGCTGGGCTCCGGCTCCTGCTGCCCGGGAGAGGTCGGGAGGTACCCAAGCATCCTTCCAGCATCCTCTGAGCATCCTTTGAGCATCTACGAGCATCCTTCAGGCATCCTTCCAGCATCCTCCGAGCATCTTTCCAGCATCCTTCCACCCAGCATCCTTCCACCTCACAGTCCCACCTGGCGTTAGGGATTTGTGGCAGTCGATACACCGATAGCATTTGTAGGCTTTGTAATTTGACAACTGCAAACATTTGGGGTTGCGCGTTAGCTTTTCGTGGCAAATATTTGTTCTCAGCTCTGTGACACTTATTCCATCTTCATGGGTAGAGTTCAGCTTACCTAACTTTACTCATCTAAAAATTAATTGGCTGAAGCTAGTTAGGTGGCTTCTTGGTATAACTGATGGAGATGAATATCTCCTGAGTGCCAGGTTTTTTCTTCCTAAACACAGATGTCTCAGCTGTTGAGCTGAATTGTCCTCCCTGGTGAAAATCCTCCTGATGGAAAGAAAATCTTAAAGGATCCAGAATAAAAATGGGTATAAATTATTTATCCTCCTGAATCTGGAGTTGGTTTGATGAGTGTCATGCGAAAAAGCTTTCACCTTGATTAATAAAAAGCACTTTTCCACAAAGGCCTGGGCCACACGAGAGAGTTATCTGGGAATGTAACTGCTTTGTGTTTCCTGCCTGTTAAGGAGACCTGCTGGGAGACTTTATAGGCTGCTGTGAGACATGACAAAACTTATTCACCAAGGAGAATGGAGAGAGAGCCTGAAAAGATGCTGTGTAAATGTGGGAAGGATGGTCAAGGCTTGGCTGAACCGTATAGAAAATGCTGGAGTGAACAAACGAGAGCTCAAATTTGTGTACCCCAGAGCTAGACTCGTGTGGGCCACTGTGGA